TACTCTGTTACGGTAAAAGCACTAATACGACAGTGTAGAAATACTCTGTTACAGTAAAACCACTAATACGACAGTGTAGAAATCCTCTGTTACAGTAACAGCACTAATTATGGACAGTGGACCATTTCAGAATAATATTATTATATTGTATTATAATGATTGAAGCATTAAAGAGGACCTATGATCTTTTCTGCTTCCTCCCTGTCCTTTAGTGTGTTCTATATACCTTTGTAGATTAAAAGGTTGTAAAGTTTCAAAGCCTGAAGTCCACGACCAAAGGGAGTTACTCTCCCCTCGGAAACACTTCTCCTGAGCTCCTCAGTTCTTTTCTTTACTTTTAAAGTAATGATGTCACCAAGTCACACATTTGTATGATAGTTGCCTACCGGCTAGTTTAACACGCCGTCAAACAAAAAGGTAGTGAGAGCGGAGCTGTGGCTCAGTCACAAGAGTTTGGTTTGAGGTGGTCATGTCCAGACGCTGTGTTAAATGATTTAATATCAGATAATCATATTGATTTATTAGTTGTGTAATGAAGAATATGTCAGCCTAAATGAATCAACTCCTCCAAGTCATATTAATACTCACATTCCTCAGGAGGTGGAGTAGCAGCCATCTTTGACTCAAGCCTATTATTAAAACCTAAACCTAAACTAAATTATAACTCATTTGAAAGCCTGGTTCTTAGTCCTTCACACCCAACCTGGAAAACAATACAGCCAGTTATATTTGTTATAGTGTACCGGGGCCCAGATCAGAGTTCTTATCAAGTCTAGTCCTTAAAACAGTCACTATTGTAGGTGACTTTAATATTCATGTGGATGTCGATAATGATAGCCTTAGTACTGCTTTACCTCTTTATTAGATTCGATTGGATCCTGTCAGAGTGTACAGAAACCCACTCACTGTTTTAACCTTCAACCTTGTTCTGGCTTATGGCATGAAAATATAACATTTAATAGTCTTTCCACAGAACCCTCTTTTAATTGGACCATTATCTAATAACTTTTGAATTTCTACTAATGGAGTGTACGCCATTAGGCAAAAGTTTATACACTAGATGTCTATGTGATAGTGCTGTAGCTCAATTCAAAAAAGCGATTCCATCTGTATTTATTTCAATATCATTCAATATCATGTCTCAGTATAACAGAGGACACAGTAGCTGTAATTAATTAACCTGCAAATTTGTGATTTTGGGCTCTATAAAATAAATGTAATTACAAATGTAATTGAATGAACCGGTTGGTAAAGTCTGCGGTGATGAACGTCTCACAGCTTCAACAGCAGAGCTAAACTCTCTAAACCAGAAGTCTTCAAAAGGGGGTCCGCGACCCCTAGGGGGTCCGCGGAGGTACTGCAGGGGGGCCGCAAAATTTTTGGTTGATTAGACAATTAAAAAAAAAAATATATATATAAACATCGAACAAAAAGTTCGGAAATTAGTGTTTGGTAGATTATTTCTCTGTTGTAACAATGCTTCTTGGCAATAAATGTTATACCGTTGGAAAGCCTGTTTCTTTACCTTTCAAACGGTGCCCCATTTGTAAGGAACATGCATTTCTGGGATGAGCAGCACAGCTGAGTATGTGGGTTGCGCCCATGATAGATTTGCATAATTATCATGCAATTGACAGACAATGTTGATATTGGCATTGGCATCAGTTGACAAAGTATCTTTATAAATGGCAGTAACACGACCACCCTACTCACTGTACCTTGCACATGTTTAAAATAACAACATGAATATATAAACCTGTGTATTATTTGAATAGCTTAGTATTGAATGCACAATAAAGAGGTATTCACGGTACTAGGCCCATTTAATATAAAACACAATTTTATACAATATATATAGTCGGGGGTCCCTGCTCCATCTCTCCATGGCCTGAAAAACGTTGAAGACCCCTGAACTAAACGTTCTCCATTGATTCTCTATGGTAGTTCTCATCACTACGGGTGTAATATATATTTTGGCCACAAGCAGGATTTTCCCGGTGCTGTTTCTCACTAAACGAGACCCCGTTTTTACGTCTTTCTTTTACTCTCTTCAAAAACATAAAAATACATTCAAAAATTGTGAAAATGCAACAAAAATAAAATAAATATTACTCCACGTCGGGGAATCGAACCCCGGTCTTGTTGTACATATTTGTGTTGTGTATTTGTGACCTTGCACTATGGACTCTGTGTTCAATGTTTACTGTCCCCTGTTATATATATTAAATATATTTTTTTCACTAATATCTACATGTCTCATTAATAAGTGAATCCTTATAATGAACAGTAAATACATATTTAATTAAAGTAATTAAGTGATTGCAATTTAAAGGTTCATAATTAGGAAAACTGCAATACAATAGGTTAATAGCCATAAATAAGTCAAGTACTCGATAATCTATCTGCCACTACAATCTAGTAATAATTAGTAAACAGAAAAGTTGGATACACATTTCTTGATTTATAAATAGCTCTTTATCATTGATGAGTGGCTTTGCCACAACTGAGACTCGAACCTGCGTCCAGGAGCTGAAAACAGCGCTATGAAAGTGGATTTTGCGCACCTTGGACAGCGTTAATAATGCTGCAATTTCATTGGCTGTCAGCGAATGCCACCGACTGGCCTCCGCGATGGTGAGGGTTATTTTGATCTTTGAACTATTTATAGACTAGTTTATTGTTTCTCCTTTTGTCACGTGTCTTATTAATTTGGGAAGGTGGTCCCCTGAATGGTTTTAACAATGAAGTGGGCCTACAAGTTAACAGACCTGTCATCAGAGCAGGCTGTTTCCTTTTTATGCAGGTTACCTAGATTCTAGGCACTCGCCACACCTTTTACAGAAACATAATGCAGGTTCTAACTCGGAGTCTTCACCTTGTGGGAAAACGACGTGAGACATCAGGCAACCACCAATGTCCCAACCGAGGAAAAGACGACAGAAGTCGTGTGTTTTGAAAAATAAAGACTCGACATAACTTTGATCATCATTGTGGATTTTTCATTGGTCTTTACTTGCAGCCTGCTAATCCTGCTCATGAGTCCTCAGAAGTGTGTTATAGTATCATACACTCTTCTACAGGGCTGTCACAAAGGCATACATAGCATGTTGTTGATGTGTATAAGACATGACTAGAGTTTATAAGCTGTTATAATACGTTAGAGCACTTTGTTTCTTTATAACTGGCTCAAGTGATAGTAGTCATAATGTGCAGTGTAACCCAGGACTCACATCGTTATATTCATAATCCGCATGAACCTATAATGCTGCACTTATAATACATTATGTCCTCCACTTATAACACTTAGTAAACCTTGTTAGAAGTTGTTACGCATGATTATAAACGAGTTAAACAAAGCTTTACATGATGTCATATAAACATGACCTTCATAAGTGTTACTGATTTCTTCGCTACCGCAAACGAACAATGCGCTCTAGTTTCAGCTTTTAATATATAAATGATAGAAACATTGAATATCGGGTCGGGTTAGGGTGTCTCATGGACGGTACTGCATTGTCCTAATGTTATGCTGTTCATATAAACATGAACACAAAGTCTTTGTGACGGCGAGATGTGATAATTTAGTAGAAATTATGTAGTGTACATGTAATAATAACAATAATAATAACAGTGCACATGATCCAGTTCCAACTGACAGTTCTCTCTTAAGCATCGGCAAAATATATTTATAATTAGTGTTCAGGTAAACTATGATGTACTATATGTAACATGCTAATACTGAACACATGGAGCTACAAAAATTGAAAAAGGTATTGGGGAAAAAAGTAATTTTTAAAAAAGTATCCTTAATAATTAAAAAATACACTGCAATGATTGCAAAATGTAGTTTATTCTTACTCTATAATTCCACATACACCGTCCTGCTGCCATACATATCAATTGACATCAGTATTTAAATAAGACAACAATAAGACAACTAATGCATTATTTCCTCCTGTTTAAATAGGAACCAATGGTGCTGAGCTGAAAGCCACAGACAGCTTAGGGAAGTCAGAAAGGCCTGAGAGACACACTGGCACATTGTTGGTTTTGGTCTTACACAATCATGCTCGCAATATCCTGTAAGTAGATGTTCATGCTAAACATACGGGAACACACATCCTCTGGGTAAGAAAAGCAAAAAGTAACACCCTCGTGAGAAATGAAGCATCTTTCCTGAAGCGGAGTGGAATCACACTTCAGTAGTTAGTCAGTGTCCCAGTGTAATCCACGCTCCTCTTTACTCTCCACGTGTGAACGCTGCTCTTCTGTATTCTTCATCCAGCCGATGTGACGTCTTCTTTTAACCTGAGGATTCTTTCCATCAGCAGTCATCGGCCTTTGAGTGTCTGCGACTGGAAATAAAGAGAGTCTCACTGCCGGCTGCCAAGAACACACGTTTACGTACACTTAAAGAATAAACTGATGCTTTCAATAATGTAATTTGATAGTTTTAAGAAGTTGTCTTCTTCGCCGACTTTGAGTTGAATACATATCCCACTGAGCTTTACATTAGTTTATGAATACATTTCCCAGCATGCATATTTGGGTTGACTCTCCAGAAACCTTTCTTCTAGTCTCATGTGACATTAAGATGTCTTTTAATGAAAAAATGAAATGTAGATAACACATGTTCTCCTCACTGCGTATGCAGCTGACTGAGACTTCACTAGCGTGGTCGGATCCACACCGTCGACTTTGAAGGTTTTCACGTTGCTCAACTTCTAGGCCACATCAGTGCAGAGCTGACAGAAGTCAAGTCATCCATGCTTTCCTTTCACTCATATTTAGGTGTAGGCTCCACTAAGCTGATTACTCATGAAATGTGTCGTATGTATTGTGACAGTATCATAAATGACAAGTGGAGACGATCACAACATTCAAATTCTGTGGTACCGACACACACGCATCATAAAGTCTAACTATGGAAGCAAAATGCAGCAGTGAGTCTCAGCAGCACAGGGGTAGTATCCACAGGCTCATGATTAGTAATGACAGTTCTGTCTGACTCTGGATGGATCAGTCTCTTCTGTATTCATCAGCATACAGAGCTTTTTGCTCTGAACAGCAGGTACAGTATCACCAGCAACAGGCCACACAGATCCAATGCTTTTTAAACAGCAGCACGATCAGTGGGGGAAGAAACTAACTAACTAACTAACAGAATAAAGGAAGTGAGCTCATATGACACATGCTACATGACATATTGCTCACTTTCTGTTTACTCAATGAAAGTTTTTTTTTACCCCCTTTGCTACACTGTGATATGGAGCGAAGCGTGCTGCCAGCAGTTTGAGTTACTGGTAAAAATATCCCACTTCCTGCCAGCACTGAGTAAAACATGCAGTCTGAAGAAACTCACCAGTTTCCACCTCAGGATCTTAATCCACTCGTCTGCCTCCACACCCGTCTTTGCACAGAGAAAGAATGTCCTCTCAGGAAACACCAGGCTGTGGACACAAGGAGAGCAGAGGTGTGCATCACTCTATAGGATCTAGTTTCTACACATCAAAGTCTTGGGTTCCCGCATTACTGGAATCTATGGGTAGAGTTCTCCTCCAATCACAAACAGGCATTTGCCCACTGAAACTTTGCTTATGAAGATCTAGTGACTGGTGGATCCATTGTATATTTAAAAGAAACCCTTTTTGTTGGGAGTAAAGGAGACAGGCGTAGTATGCCAAGTGATAAAAAATCTCTGACCTGACTTCACAAAAACATTGTATGCAACATACACAACAAACGGAACTAAAATAAAGACACTCTGCTGCCTGTTGCCACACGAGCAGCGCCCGTCCTCATGCCATCCATCAAATAAAGAGTAACCGCCCATCTTTGGGTTCACTTTGTCAGGCCCTGCATCGCATTTGATGTTGTGTGTTTTTTAGATTTGATTTTTAGAATGTAAGTGTAAGTTAGATATCGGGTATGTATAAATCAGTTTTTCTCTCTCTTTTTTTTTTTTTTACTTTTGGCTGTTTTCTTTCCTTTTTTCAGTTGTGTTCCAGGCACTAGATATGAACCATGAGCCTCAGCGACCATTATATGGAGGAAAAAAAGAAAATCAGAGCCATACAATCAGGGATCTAGCATAACATATTCAGAACCCTTTGCTGCTTTCTTGATGAATTAACCTCTACATCATACGAGTTCATTCACCTACAACACTCCACTCCAAACAGGAAAAATCCAGTTAAAGGGGGACAGTGGGTGTAACCTTTGTAAAGCCACAGCTGCCTTTCACTTCATGTGCACTTCTCCTTCCCTCCTCTTGTTTTCTTCTGCTATTTCACTACTCACACTTCCTTTTACAAACAACACAAAGGGTCCAGTTTAGAAAGCACAACTCTGCTGTGGCCTCAGACTGCAGTGCTGTGACTTAAGACATATATTTTATTTGCTTTTTCTATATAATGTTGGTGTCATCTGAAACATATTGCATATATTTAGGGCCCAAGCACCGGCAAAGTCGGGCAAAGGACATATTGTTCTTCTAATGTTCATTATTATTATTATTATTGTTCGGGCCAGAGCACCGATGAAGTCGGAGCGTAGGACATGTTGTACTTCTAATGTTCATTATCATTATTGTTAATAATCCCGGCTCCGCGAGTCCCTGCCGGTGTGTCCTTGGGCAAGACACTTAACTCCAAATCGCCCCTGAAGGCTGTGCCATCAGTGTGTGAATGGATGAATGATGACTTGTAGTGTTAAAACTTTGAGTGGCCAGAAGACTAAAGACTATACAAGTACAGTCCATGTACCATTTAACAGAACAAAATGTCATAAGTTGTCGCTGTGGATGTATCAACGCTCACAAGCTAGCCAGTAGGTCACTTCTTAGCATACATTGTGTAAATAGGCAACATAGTAATCTCATGTCAGACAGAACTGCCAACTCGTTAATAATGTTGTACTGAGAAGACATGCCATACATGTAAAATATATTTGTTAACCAAGGAGGTCATATCCATAGTGAAGGATTCAGAGATGTCGGTTAAAAGTACGACTCCTACATGTGTGGTTGGGTTTTAATTTCCACATTCTTTTACGGTGCATCCCCTCAGGGCTGATCACTGACTGACATCACTTACCAGAAACAGTTGACTCTGTCCTGAGAGTAGTCAAACTGGACTGCAGAGCAGGCTCTCAGATCCAGGGTTCGGATGGGCTCTGCACCCTGCAACAGAGACACTCTGCAGCTTACACGTCCACACTACGAGCGGCTTCATACAATTGCTCCATCCGCATACTGTCATCACATATCCAAAGTGAAGCTGTGAAATAGCACATCTAACACAACGTGTACTTGAGCCGAAGAGAGCCTCACCATTTTGTCTTTGAAGTATTTGAGTTCGTATCTGTTCAGCGTGAACCACCTCTGTTTCCAGTTCTGCAAAAAGAGGATGTATCGCCTCAGTAACTGGTCTGTGTTCAGACTCTGAGTCCTGCTCCACTACATCTCCAGATGTCTGATAACAGCTGATTTGTGTGCAGACATATCTTACCTTCACAATCGCTCCTTGTTTCACCAGATAGCCTTCCTTTGTGCCCAGCTGAAAAGACAAGCTTTGTGTTGGTAGAAAAATGATTCTACTATATTCTACTATACTATAACGATAATTCTGTTTTATTGCAACTTGGATCTGGGGAAAAAAAAAAAATCACCTCATTTTGTTTTTGAACTTTTAACCACATCTCACGGCTCTTCATCGGCTCTTGTTTGGCTCATTAGTCATGGGGTTGGTTCAGTCAGTTCAGTTCAGTTAGCCCAACTATGGGTCTCCTATCACATGATGACAGGTGGTTGTATATGGTTGGAGCTGGTAACGCCTGTCTCTGTTCAAAGATGGTCTCTGGTGGGGTTTGTAGATCTTGAGATCTTAAGGTGTTGAATGGTTTGTGAGAGAGGCCCACTGGAGTGGTTCTGAAGGTCACCATTGAGTTACATGTGACAGAGTTTGTGAGTTCAGATTGAGTGGGGTTCCTGTACACTGAGTGTCTTTATGAACCCGTCAGCCTTCAAATGAACACAGGTGCCTAAACACAGCTCCTGTAGTTTGATGACAAAAGGTCATGTGATGACAACTGAACCAACGACACCATTTGCTGACACCATAACTGTCGGTCAAAACAATAAATGTAATATCCATGTTGTAATAATCCAGAATTACCTTTCAAGTCAGACTTAAAGAGAGCTGAATGGACCCCCCCCCCCCCTTAAGGTTACTTTGGTCACATGACATCTGACACACTTTGGGATCAGCTGCTCACAGATGTGAGCGTGCAGAAAGGGGCATACCGATGGTGCGTTCGGTACCAGATCATTTTCTGTGCGGCCCGTCTGTATGGCTGTGTGAACTCGCACCGACTCGTAGATGGACGGCTCCTCCACGCGCCACGGGTACGGACACTTCAGCACAATCAGGGTTCCTGGTTCAGAGGCAGAGGGCGGGTCACAGGCCTGACTACCTCACAATAACACACAGAAGAAATACAACGTCCAACAACTCAACAGATGAGCCTGGGGTTATTCTCTTGTTGTTGGATTGGAAAAATGTGGAGTGGATCATTTTTAACAATGGAAAACACTGGAAAATCAACAGCTTCAAATGAACGTAGGGTAACAAAGGAGGGTTAGGCATAAAACCTTGGTGTGCTGGTAGTCCTTGGACCGCTATAACTACTTTGGTCTAGTCAATCTCTCTCCTCCAGCTCATTCTGTATGCTGCCACTCGGCTTTAATAATGTTATGGTAATCCTTGGTGAGATCTTTGGGACTCCCTGTCTGAGTACATCAGGCTAGCCGCCTTGGTAGCATCTTGTACGTCACTATAAATCTTTTAGCTTTTCTATTCATAAACACTTTGTAGCTCTACTTTTGTACCCATTTGTGCACAAACCTGAGCTGGAACGAGGGATTTCTAGTATAGCTTCACCTTCGCTATGAAAGCCATTCACCAGAACGATAGCCAATAGATCAAATGTGGCGTTTCACTGTATGAGCTGGTTCATATGCAGTAAGCTTTGTTAGTTAGAAGAGCTGAAGGTCTGCATACCTGTGTCACTGCCCAGCAGAGGCTGGTTGGCAAAGTGGTTGACGAAGTCATGAAGGGTTGTAAACTCGTTGAAGCCAAACACGTAACCATTGTCTTTGCGTGTCACATGAAAATGCTTCACAGAATCCTTCGCCCTACGTGTCGACAAACAAACATTTAACAATGCACTGTTAAAGTCATTCATGTGCACCAGTGGCGGGCCGTGCATTTTATACCTAGGCCTTCACTGTTGTCCTGCAGCTGAAATACCACCTTATAACCACATGATGGCGCTACAGATATCAGTTTCTAAGGCTGTAACTATGTACGTATTAAATGTACGTAACGTTCGGTACGAGACTTGCAGTATGTTTCAATAGTACTAGAGCATCTGGACAATGCAGAAGCTTATATTCAGGAAAATATAATGTTTTCTGCGCTCATGGAGGACAGTGGTTCTCAGCTGGTCTGGCTGTGGGACCCACCATCATCATTCCTTTATGACAAGTCGCAGCCCAAAGAGATAGTCTTATAATTTTACTTTCACAACTTCAGCATTGTATGTACTGCTCTGCAGTGTCTTTCCTCGTCTCAGCCCCCTGTGTCATGGTGCATCTCACTCAGTCAGAATGCCCATATTTGATTGGCTGAGCTGCATCACGTGATGCGATTCACCACCCGACATGCCTCTGCTGTTAAGCGTCATTTCACGATAGTCACGTGCTCGCCCACTGACCAATCACAGCGCACTCTGCACCTCGCGGCAGACACTGAGCTGCACTAATGCTGACGTCATTATAGGCCGGCGAGCAGGCTCTGATACGTCAAAGAATACGCCCAACATGTCAAACTAAAGATCTGATTGGTTGAAGAATATGACAATCAACAATATCGTCCCCGTTCACTTAAACTGCAAATGGCTGCAGGCCTCTGTCTGCAGGCCTCTGGCTCTGTTCTTACCTAGAGACACAGAGGTGAAATCTGATTGGATAAAAGCTCTACTTAAAACAAGCTGCACTGGAAGCAGAGCAACTGAGGAAGACAGTAGCTGTGCAATGAGAAAATAAGATAATGGGAAAAATATTTTTATAAATTATAATACATGTAGTGTATTTAAGAAAAATTATTAAATTATAAAATAGATATAGCTTTGTGATTCTGTTTAGGCCAGCAGAGAAGGTCTTGCAGGCCCTGACGGCCCGCCACTGATGTGCACAAAGTATTTGTTTACCATCTTGGTAATGGCCTCCGGTTGAAGACATGCTTGGTTTTAACAGCACGTACATGAAGTGGCTGCGAGAGTGGCGTGTTCATCAAGCATACTTTTTGTGTAGCCCGTGTGTTAAAAAGTATACCCACTAGCGGGAAGATCACGGCCAATCCATCCCTGACTGACATCAGATTATCTATTTTAACAGCTTCAGATTATGCTCGATTAGTTTCTCTCAAAAAACTGACAAGGTTTATTTATTGTCATTGTACAACGTGTTTCGCAAAGGAAATGCAGTCTGTTGCCCGGTTCTGCTACATAAGAAAAATACAAGCAAAAAAGAAGTGTGGTGGTCTGATATCTGGTACTTGTGTTTCATTTAGAATGTATGTTTTAGACGGACTGACCTGACGGACAGGGCGAAGCAGCCTGGTCCCTCGTTACTGTTCCTCAGGAGATAACTTCCATCAGTCCCATTGGACAAGAGAAGGGCCTCTGTGGCATGACGGGACAGGTCATAGTGGTACCACCTTCAACAAAATCGACAAGATTAACCTGGAACTCTACTGGGATGAACCGACACTCAGACAGTCGATCTTGATCTATTCTATTTCTATGGGAATAAAAGAGATCGTCTAAACTGCCACAATCTTTAAAGGCCGGATCGGTAATCTTCAAAAACCTTTCTGATATTTTTGTTGAAATGACATCCTGACAGCAATCAATGAATCAAATTGATTCAATCTGTTATCTATGACTGTTGCAGGACTGTAATAAGCCCGACCAATCACTTCATTCGAGTGAGGGAGGCCTGAAGGGACGTGCTGTCAGGGTTGCCGACTCTGCGACTTTCTTGCTCGAACTAGCAACTTTTGGAGCTAATGGTAAATGGACTGTACTTGTCTAAAAAGGCCGAGTCAAGCAGTAGCTCTCGGCCTTCTCTCTTCTTTCTGCTCTGTGTGGAATACACACTGGTCCACATCAGACACTCTAACACTGAGATGAGAAACAGCAACGTCCACATTCACTGCATTAAGGTGCGCGGCGAGGATTTGTATCCTGAATAGAGCACAGATCTGTGGGCGACTGTGGCGTCGTCCTTCATTTAGAGGATTGGGGGTTCGATGTCCATGTCGATGTGTCCTTGGGCAAGACTATTACTATTACTATTGCCGATATCATTACTGCTTTTGTTATCATTATTATTCTACTATATCCACTGATGCTGTTATTATTAGTTGATATAATTTTTCCATCATTATTATGCTCACTACTCTCATATGAATCATTTCTGTCATATGCATTGAATGTGTTGTAACTCTGTTGTTGTTCATTCTGTACACACATCTGTCACACTTCTGTCCATCCTGATAGAGGGATCCCTCCTCTGTTGCTCTCTTTAAAGTTTCTTCCTTTTTTTCTCTCCCCATTAAAGAGTGTTTTGGGGGAGTTTTTTCTGTACCGATGTGAGGGTCAAAGGTCAGAGGATGCTGTTTGTGTACAGATTGTAAAGCCCTCTGAGGACAATTTGTGATTTTGGGTGATACAAAAGAAATTGAATTCAATTATAAACTATTCCACTAAAGAGGCATGGTTTGCAGATAAATATGAGACAAGAGTTGATGAAAAATGTGCCTTTTGATTAAACAGTTGGTTTTCAGATGAAATGGAGACGACTGTTGCTGGTAAACAAGCCGCAGACTGTAAGACAGCTGCAGAGGAAACTAGTAAAGGGATGTGAAAGTGCAGTATTTGCATAGACAGCTGCTGAGGGATTATAAAAAATAAAAGTAGTAGAATGCATTGTTTAACTATTGTATTGGATTGCATTGGATTATACAGGTGTACATGGTATGTCAGAGAGTTTAAGGTTAAAGTTTGTTTCATTTTGTACTTCACAAGTCATGTTTTAGAACCAGCTTTAGGTTTATTGCTGCCCTGCTCTGAGCTCCATGTAACATCCTACTTCCATTGTCTCTAGTTCATTACATGAGAGTCCATACAAACTGTAACCAGTTAAACGGTTTGAATAATGCCTACTATGTAAAACTACTCTACGAAGAAGCCAAGTTGTGCTATGAACAGTTGAGAAGTGGCAGGAATTTATGACACTGTCGACTGTCTAGGTCAAATGAATTCCCAGATATTACATTTTGTGATTACTCTCAACATAATTTCTGTTTGTGAGTAGGTCAGAATACTTTGAATGACTCGCATCGTTTTCTATCAGAGAATATGTTAGTCATCTTTTTTTGTTTTGATTACAAATCACATTTTCTAAATTTGCTAATAGATTTGTGTGATCTAAATACATTCCTTTGACTTATGAATGGATGTTAAATGTTGTATTCTGAATAACTATTTTTTTTTTTGGGAACTATTGTTATTAATCCAATTGAGAGATCAGCTGTGATAAGAGGAAGGGGTGGGACTTCGGGCAGAACGAGGCATCGGCGTCTATTATTATTATTATTATTATGAGTTTGTTAAGTTTGTTGAAAGTGAAAATAAATCGACCAACTCACGGCAATGGAATCAGCGTCTGTAGAGTGCATCATCTGGACTGTTTAACCCGTAAGGTGGCACAGTGTATAAGAACAACAAATAACAGCGTCCCACGCGCTCTTACCCCAAAGTCTCCAACTCGTCTCCAGACGCATCGCTGTAGTAACTCATGTCAGGAGGTCGGAGTCGGTGTGCACAAGGAGCAGCAGCAGTCACACAGAAGTGAGAGCTGTGAGCTCGAGGCAGACACGCCTAAAGAGGAAATGAAGACTACTGCAATGCATCCAGAGTCACGAGCGGCCTCAGAGGGTTACCTCAGCATTCCATTAATTTATCCAAAGCAACTCACAACCAGTGCATTCAACTACACAAGCCAAACGTTAAAATAATGGTAGAACATAGCCCTCCATCAGCTCCATCAGACGCTGAACTGCTTCAAGTTTATTTAGTCTGAACAAATGAGCTTCCAGTCTGCCTACTGTACATAATACATAAACTAGATGGACCGGGTCTGGATGGATCCCATACAACCCCACTTCTAAACACCGGGGCCCGTTTGCTAACCCTGAGAAGGGATGGGTGTCACAAACAGCTGGAAATGAAAGGCACAGCCTCCGTTGTAATCCAGTGGAAGTAGAGATATGAATGCATGTGAGCTATATATGGACTGTGCACATTTATATTTAACACAGTTAAGTTGTATTCAGTGCTGTCCTTTCATTCATCATTTACCGGACTATGAGAAAGCAGAGACACCTGACTGCATTAGGCTGAATCCCACAATAGATTTGAGATATATCTGCTTTAATCTGAAGAGGATGAAATACAGGGGGAAACTGGAGATAACAGACCCAAAGTTTAAGTTCCCTCTCTTTATCGAACTGAAGTTTCCCTCATCTCAGAGTTACTAACTACTCCCAAGGTTTCACTTTAGCTGCCTTCTGGAACAGGGCCCTGAGCGATCCCTTTATCACCTGGTTCACATAGAGGCAGCCGGGTCACTTCACTCTGATCTCATTGCTATGATGGAATTCTGACGTGCTGGACTTGTTTGATCAGGATTTCTATCACAGATGGAAAAACCAGCATTCCTCTGCTGGGCTCAGCAACAACATGAACAAATGATCATCAGCAGTCTGTTGCTTTTCTTGAATTAGTTGACGGTTAATCATTTGAAGATGGTTATTTTTGATAAAGTATTTATTTCAAAATGAGTCATTACAGCAAAGTCCACAACAAACCTGTCACGTCTAACGTGGCGGGCTTTCGTTTAGGATCTACAAAATCATATTCATAATCACATGTTTGCCAGCTTAATAGTGTCCAGGATGTGTTGTGAATAGCAACATTAGTGCACCTTCAGGTGAAGCTCTATCTGCTAAAGCTAGAGCACATAAAGTGCTTTACAACCAGTCGTACACATCTGTGGTGCGATCCATCAGTGAACCTGAAGTCTGACTTCAATCAGTTCAGATCGATCAGTTAACGTAGCCTCATGCAAACCTGATCTCACTGTGACGGACCCGACCATTCATTTTCATACTACACACAAACTGCCCGTAACCAATCACGAACAGGAAAAATAATACCTCCAAAAATGAAAATTGAACAATTTGCATTTAAAATGTTTCTGTATTAATGTCAAGTAAACATGATTTGTAGTTCTACAGGTAAAACATGCCCTTTAATAATTACTCACTGGATATTTGAGTGAATTTGTTGCAACTTTGAAAAATGCAAACAACCGGTATAGATGAGAATAAACCAGTCATGGGTTCAAATATAAATAATATTAAGACAGTGAGTTGACAATATTACAAATTGGGGGGGGTTCTGGGAACAAAATCCCACTTTTGATTTGATGGGAGTTTACCTGAGAAACAGCACCAGTGTTTGCTCCATGCTCTAGTATTAGTCTTGTTCTTCATGTAAAGAGAGAACTTTAGGAAAAAGCCTTTGTTGAATGTTGATTACAGCAAATCAATTAAACACAATCTCTTTGGCTACATCGGATTGGATGCATTTGGATTGTCCAGCGCTCTCTTTAGCCACATGCTACCCTTTCAAAGAGCTCACGAGAACAAAGAGTAACAGGAAACAGTCACATATCCAGATCTCTTTCTCAGGAGTTGGTGGAGACCAAACCACAGCTATGTATGCGACTAAGTATTGGGACACAAACACCACTCCAATGGGATGCTAACGTTGTGTAAGTTCTCTTACATTCGGATTTATGCTCATCTGAAAGTAAGCCAATAAAACTGACATTTGACAAATGTCATAGAACATGCATGTCGAGAGGTCTGCAACTTCTGTGTCATTATACAGTGGAGGACGATGAGGAGTATGAAACAGCAAAAAAAAATAAACAAAAAAAATCTTTGATCGTATCTGTGATCTATGGACTATGATCTGACTTGGTCTCTTTCCTTATCAGTCTGCTGGCTCACAGTGATAACAGTAGTACATAGTGAAGGCCAGCTCGTTCCTTTACGATCACTGTTAATCATGAGATTAATCAACTCATGATTTGTTGATGTGCAAATGATACATACAGCAAAATTCTAAAAATTGTCTCCACTTTTTCCACACGGTGGTCATGTTTCACAGACAAATGCTCGCTATTGTGATTCAATCACTGAGTAGAACATCCATCTTTCTTCATAATTAGGTTCTTGAAACTTCTTTGGGTGTTGACATGTCACAAAACGAGCATCTCTCAGCAGAATGGATAGGTAGCTGTGGAACGTCCATACAATCTATTCTGCCCCAGCATGTCAATATCAACTTTTAGGTCTTTCTTCTTAGAGTTAGAGAGTTAGTTAGAGAGTGAGTGAGTTAGAGAGTGAGTGAGTGAGTGAGTGAGAGAGTGAGAGAGTGAGTGAGTGAGTTAGAGAGTGAGTGAGTGAGTGAGTGAGAGAGTTAGTTAGAGAGTGAGTTAGAGAGTGAGTGAGTGAGTTAGAGAGTGAGTGAGTGAGAGAGTGAGTGAGTGAGAGAGTGAGTTAGAGAGTGAGTTAGAGAGTGAGTGAGTGAGTGAGTTAGAGTGAGTGAGTGAGTTAGAGAGTGAGTGAGTGTGAGAGTGAGTGAGTGAGTGAGTGAGTGAGTGAGTTAGAGAGTGAGTGAGTGAGTTAGAGAGTGAGTGAGTGAGTTAGAGAGTGAGTTAGAGAGTGAGTGAGTGTGTGAGTGAGTGAGTGAGTGAGTGAGTGAGTGAGTGAGTATGTGTATGTGTGAGTGTGTGTATGTGTGTGTATAAAGGGATGTCAGGACACCACTGAGGCTGTGCTGGGCTCCAGGCCCGGGTTGTCGGCACACAGTCGCAGCCTGTTGTCTCTGGACCGGCTCAGGTTCCAGCGCTGCATTCTCCTGCGGTACTTCTCCGAATTCACTTTGTCCATCTGAGCTGGTTCCAGAACAGCAGACGGGTGCAAGGTGTTGTACAGAGCTCGAAACAACAGCCTGCAGAGGAGAAGACGCAGGGCAGATGTGAGTCAGTCCTCCAGGGCTGTGTCTTCACACGGATCAGTACATGATGAACTCAACACCCAACAGAGAAGCAACTTCAGTCCTTTCACTCGACTACCAACTGGACCACTTGTTAGGCTCGGCTCCCTACAAGGAATCAAAGAACTTAACTGACAATAAATGCCGTGAATGACGTCTGAATAATTCATTAATCTAACACAGTACACACTCCACTTTAAAGGCACTAGCAGCTGTAATAAGGTGCATTTAAATCTGAACTCGGATTAAAATGAATGAGTGAAAGAGTCAACATGACTTAAAGGACTTTCCAAACTGAGACCAGGAAAATGGATTTGAGTGAAGAGTTGCCGAAGAAGAAGTGACTTCATCCATTGACAACATGGAGGCTGCTTTGCATAATACAGTCTGAATGTATCGCTGCTTTTTTCATATTTGTTATTTCATTCATTTGATTTCCATGGCTTATGGTAGTATCAATATACGTCACACATATAGTACCGTTATATGTCTCACTGACACTTACAAACAACACACACCTCAACGTCATTTAGTTGAGCCAAGATCCGCAATACAGACACATACTGTATCTCACCATCTTAGGTCATTTTAGTTCCACACGTACACGCACATACACACAATCGCAAAAAAGGTTATAAAAGGGACGATGGACGCCAGAGCTGTAGCTCTTTCTTTGCAAATACTCCTCAAGTGTACAAGTCTCGTCTCGATCTCATCTCTTATCTTCTCTCAGATTTGCATCAACATCTATTTCTGGCTGTACGGCAGCCCAGTGCTCCTACAGATGCCTGTGTTTCCTGTGCTAGCAGCTAGCAACTAGCAGCTAGCAGCTAGCTCTGACTGTATGGCTTCAATAATAGAACAAGAGAGCAGCTGTATGAAGTCAGCTTTTGTAAAGGAAAGCCTTTATGACTTCAAAGTAGGCTGCACTGAATTTGGACCCAGCTTGTGCACATTTCGAGTAGTGTGTTTGAGTGTGTGTGTGTGTGTGTGTGTGTGTGTGTGTGTGTGTGTGTGTGTGTGTGTGTGTACGTGTACCTGGGTAACAGAGCCGTCACAGTAGTGAGAGCACATACGATGTAGAAAAGAGGCTGGGACATCTCGAGGGTTTCCACCCCCACAGGGTTGGTGGGGGGGCTGCAGGTCACACAGAACAAACTGAAGAGCAGCACGAAGCCGAAGTAGGACCCACCACTGAGCACCAACACCAGCACATGAATCCACGTCTGCAAAACAACACAGATGTTTTGGTTAAGCCACAACACAACTGGAGACGCACAGATCCTGACGTCACTTCTTGTCTGGACTCTGATCACAAACAACCACTCCTATTGTACAGCAGTGTGTCTGACCAGAGTGTGACTCTCGATGACTTGGTGCAGCAGGACGATGAGGAGGGCCGAGGCGTTGATGGGAGAGCCTAAGGACAGCTCACTAACGCTGGATCCCCTGAAAGCCTGAGACAAACATCACAACTGTATGAGCAGTGTTCACAGCTACGTGATAGGACAATCGGCTGCAAGGCTGTCGGTTATTACTGAAGGATTTGACACGGTGTACTTACAAAGTAAGGCACAAAGAAGCAGATGAGGCTTTGGTAAAACGCATCCAGGACTGTGATCCAGAACATGTAGGGAGCATAGACCTGCAGAGACAAAGGACTCACTTAGTCCTTCTAAACACAGGTCCATGTTTCATTTCCTGTCCACACATGAAGAAAAAAGAAAAAGGTCCCGAGCTGGATATCTTGAGTCCAGTCAGTAGACTATGGCATGTTGGACTCGATTTTGTGCCAACATGCTGTCCTAGGCCCTTTTGACATGCTAGCCTTTTGCCTGATGAAGACCTGGTGCTCAGTATTTTAGACTGTTATAGTACAATCTATTGCAACAAACTACTGCAACCTTTAGCAATGCAACAGTCCTGCAAGAAAGCCTACATCCTCTCTACATCCAACGGATCAGTCACGAGGTCCAATAGTGTGAGCAGCACACATTCAGTATCTTAAAGGCATCCTCATGAAGTGCAGTCAGGTGAACTCCTGTATGGAGGAAGTGTAATGAGACTTGGTCTTTGATTTACAGAGACCAACTCATTGTCATCTGCCTTAGATATGATATGATGACTGTTTTGATGATTGATAATCCTAATTATGACACATACGGTAATAAAGTGTTCTTTATTAAACTAGGTTGTTTCTGAGAAGCCGATAACCGGGTGGGATCCTGATATCATTAGTATTGATAGGATCCTGGGTCTCAGAGTAGAGCTTTGGCTCCCTGTGGTCCCATTTCAAAAGCTTCTCCATTCCTTAGAAATAGGAAATGTTTGACATGATGATGAAAAAAAAGGAATAAACAATAGAGCGAAACGCTGAACAACAGCCGTTGTGATTGCAGGTTTGCGTGTGCATGAAGTCACCTCAGAGGTCTGCACCTCCGGGTAGAGCTCGGGCAGCTCCATCAGAGTGTGTGCAGGCGTGTCCCGGTCCAGGACGCCGTAGATGAGCGGAGGAACGGAGGTGAAGATCAGGTTGAAGAGGATGAGCACCCAGGCATTGGTCATGACGCTCCCAGAGAAGCCACAGAAGAACTGATACCAGAACAGCAGATTCACATACATCTGCAGACAGACAGACAGCAGAGAGGATCGTCTCAACATCTCCATCGGTGGCTTTTTTATCTGCATTGTATTCTGTAGTGCTTGTAGCCGGTAGCTAAATCAGTCACAATGCTTTGCTTGAAGTGAATCCATTTTGTGTATGAATATATTGTTATTGGGTTATTATTGTTACTTGTCCTTGTCTTGTCCGTATTAAGTATTTTTGAGGATTAGATGAGAGTTGTTTTGGGGAATCTTTAGGGGTGTTTTCCTAATGAGAGAGTCAAAGCCCCCGGAGTACCAGACACTTAAATGAAGCCATTTCAGAAACATTGATACACACAGAACTCTCACCACATTCTTGTAGATGAAATAGAGGATCATGTTTGCCAGACGAGAGTAGCACCAGTGGCCGTGGACAAGCAGCAGCTTCCTGAGGTGTTTAAACCTGGAGACGGCAAAGTCACTGGACATCACAGCCTGGGGAAGGAAAAGCAAGATTGAGTAAGAACAGTGAGAGAGCTTGGAGTTCAATCAAATAGAGTTGAGTAGAACAGCTAAAGAAAGCTGCATGTCTACAGGCCGCTGTGGGTCTGGTAGTGTTCTGTCAGGATGGATGGAGGGGTCATAACCTGCATGCCCTCCTGACCACATATCCCCACGCCCACATCAGCCACCTGAATCATGCTCACATCGTTGGCCCCATCACCTGAATGAACAGAAACAAGTCCACGTTTAAGTACATGTAAGCATTTTGTAAGGTTTTATCTGCATTGCCCACCCCCCCACAGCCACTATTATATTATAACAGTTATTAGCAGGTCGAACAATAACCGCTCCCTCTCTGCTAACCAACTCAGGCTTAGACTTGACGTTTAGTTTCAGGAAATTAAATGAGAAAACTTGTTAGCGGGAAAAAGTAATTATTACAGACAATGAGAGGGAACTCATCAGGCCAAGTCCTTACCCACAGCCAGGGTCATAACACCAAGCTGGTCCCGGATCAGCCGGACCACCTTGCTCTTCTGCAGCGGAGTGGACCTGCAGCAGATGACTGCCTTGCATCTCCGGCTCAGCTCCAGGAAGTCGCTCCTCGGCTCCTCCTGCAGTGCCCAGTCCAGGGTCCGTCCGTCCAGAACCAGGACAAAGTCTCCCACACCGCCTGAGGAGCACTCTCCAGAACCCCCCGCTGCAGTCACTTCCGTCAAACCGTCTACACCACGCTGCACTTCCAGTTTGAGCTCCTCGAGTAAAGCCGCACATGCATCCTGATGTGTGGAAGAACTCCAGGATTACTGTTGCGTACATTTGGCATCGTATAATATACATCCAGATATTGAGGAATTGGTCCTATCTTCCCAAGATAAAGCAGACTTCCCAAAGTGATCCAAAAGATACGCATGCTATATCTTAGAAATATCTTGATAACAGCACAATTTATAAGATTCATTGTTCTGTGAATGTGAAAAATGTGCCAGTAGTAGTGTAGTAGTAGTAGTACTGACCTTGCTTCCACAGCTGGCTGTCAGCAGTTGGTCGTTGGGACAAAGGAGCTTGCAGGCGTAGGCGATGTTGATGGCCGTCTCTTTCTTGTCTCCAGTGAGGATCCACACTTTGATCCCAGCCCTCTGCAGAGCTTCGATGGTGTCTGGGACCTCCTCCTGCAGTCTGTCCACGATCCCCGTGGTGCCTGTGTGTACACACACACACACACACACACACACACACAGATAGAGACAAAGTACTTTAAGTACTGCTGCTCCAAGCTCTGATGTGCACGCGGTCATGTCTGCGCTGAGCGCCTCTCCTACCCAGCAGGGTGAGGTTGGTCTCCAGTCTCTGAGCCGCCTCCAGCAGCAGCTCCTCTCTGTGCTCAATGCTGCTCTCTGCCAGCAGCTGTCCCTTCAACCACACCTCATACTCCTCCTCTTCCAGGACCTGCTCCAGACACAGAACACGCAGCAAAACCAGACTGGAAATGATCTTTTGACTGGATGTTGTCATCATACCAGCAACATGTATGATGACAACATACAGTTTTCAATTGTTTCAAAAATAAAAGCCCCTCTAGCGTATCTCTGGAGACACGTCTGAGCCACAACACTGTCCACAGTCGTGTGGTTTACCCGTCCTGAAGCGGTACCTTTTTAGCGATGCAGAGCGTGCGGAGGCCTTCTCTGGCATAGCCGTCTAAATGATTTTGGGTTTGTTCTCTGATGCGACTGTAGATCTCCTGAGCCTGCTCTGAACCTGAACAAAACAGAATGACAGTGACACAGACAGACAGTGCTGTTAATATTTTTATTATGTTTCAAACACAGCGTTCTTCAGTCACATTCCTTCTGTTAATTACCTTTCGCCGTCTCAAGCAGGTCCATGATGACAGAGTCGGCTCCCTTGGTATAAACCACCACCTGTCCTGTGAGCGGGTGGCGGACCACCACCGACATCTTCTTCCTGTTGGAGTCAAAGGGAAGGATGTGGAGTAGCTGGACAGCCAATGATCCGATTCCTGGAAGATCCACCAGCAGGCTCTCTGCAGAACGTCCCCTCAGGGTGCAGCGGTACGCATGGGCTGCATGGACCAGAGCCGCCTCGTCTGGACTCTCCGCCTCATACAGCAGTTCATCATCAGTGGCTCTCTCACAATCCACGTCTCTGGTCAGGTCCTCGACTTCCTGCCTGGCCCCCTCAGGGTTTGTCCTTGCACCCTCCATATTATCGTCTGTCTCTCTGTCCTCCATCTGTTCAGCATCCCCTCCACTCTCCACTCTGGAGGATGAGTGGACTTCACGCCTCAGGTTGGAGGTTTCTTGGTTGCTTTCTTGGCCTGGTTCTGACCAGTCTGTGGTGCTGTTAGTGGGTGTGGAGAAGGTGAAGGAGTCAGTCTTACCCCGGGTAAACAGCCTGCTGGTGAAGCTGCGGGGGCTTCCTTTGACCTGGGGAGGGGACAGGCTGGAGAGCGCTGAGAGAGGAGAGAAGCTGAGGCGCTGGAACATCAGCTTGGTTTCCTCCAGGGACTTGAGAGGCGTTTGTGTCTCAGGCACCTGCAGTGAAGAGAAATACGAAGAGAAAATGGGATCAGCTTTGGCAAGGGAACTCCTGAGCTGAACTGCTCAGTAAGTTTTTAGCTCAAATGTTTTTTGAATACACCTTGACTGTACCAGTTTTTGTATTCGTACCGAACCATCACAGAAGGGGGTCATAGTTTGTTACACACAGCCGCACACAGAGTATACACTATATGTAGTTTGGCGTATGTATTGTGGAATATGCTGTCAGCAACATTTTGTGATCTTCTCACCACGTGTCGAGGCTGGCTGGGCGAGGACACCACCACGCTGTTACAGATGGCCAGAGCGAGGAAGAAGTCCGTGATGTAGGTGAGCTCCAGGCTGGACGGAGTCCCAGAGGAGCCGTCACTCAGAGCCAGCATGGGAGAGCAGAACCAGTTCAACTTCCTCACCAGCTCGGGGTCTGGTACCACCTCCTTGGTCTGAACAGACAGAGAAGCAGCAAGCGCTTATCCATCACGAAGGACAGCAGAGCTCACGAGTGTGTTAATGCACTTAGATGAGGGTTATGGGAGAAATGGTCTGCTGCATTCATCTTATATCGACAGGTTACCAGAGTGCATGTAAACAAACTGTTCAAAAATCTCTCCGCAGCTAATCTCGCATCATGCTGCAGCGATTATATGTTTGATGCCCGGTTCTGGCTGCATGCTGAAGGACTTCTCATGGTTGCGGTGAGTCGCATTATCTCGAACGCTTGTATTGCCTGCTTTAAACTGCCATTGAGTGCCTGCTGACTCACTACTTTTAACCACCCGCAGCCGGTAGGGGTCGCTAGTGAGAACACAGCCGAGTGCGCCTCCATCTGCTACTCTGCGGCCACAGTGGGAGGATAACAGTTTGCGATGCGTTTGGTTAACCGCTAACAGAGTAGACGTTGTTTTTGGGGCACGGCTCGGCCGCTGCTCTGCGGCTCACTCTTATTGTTTTGGTCGCTGTGTTTGGCAAACCGCTAACAACTAACGATAATACCTGTACACACACGGCTGTACCTCTAAGCACCTCAGCTGCTGCTGGGCAAGCAGCAAAAGTTGAATTTTGATTTTGGTAAGATTGTATTATAATGTATTATAGGACAGCTTTGAGCAGATTGCTTGCATACATCGTCGCTTGTTTTTGAGTTAGAATGAAGTGTGTTGATTACGCTTTACAGCACTTGTTGGTAGTTGGCTCAGTTGTATTGTTCTGTTTTGGCTAACAGCTGATGGAAGTACCAGTACACACACTGCTGAACCTCGAAGCACCTCAAACTGTGTTTGACAAGACCGTATGACTACCTTATACTTCAACTTCTAGCCGATGGCCTGTATTTATCACTGCGTTTGGAGAACACCTTTCAGGCCATTGGTGTCTTGACAGGGCGTTAACAGGACATAACTCTCTGAGATCTGCACTCTACTGAGCGCAGATCTCAGATTTGTTAAAGTTACATTACATGTTTACGAGGCTTGAATTTACAAGTCAAGGTGGAAGATTGTATTATTTGTAAAGAAAGTTTATAAGACAGTTTATATGTTGACTGTATCCAATGTTGTGTTGGTCTATTATATACAGAATAACGTATTGCTTGTGTCTAGTTAATATACAGAAAATAGGGAACTCGTCGAATACTGAATTGTAATCGCAATATTGGTCTAAAAAAATCTAAATCTAATTATTTTCTTATTCTACTCCAGTGATGGTGTGTGAATGAGTGTGTGTCTGTGAGAGTGTGTGTGAGAGTCTGACCACGCGACTGCAGAAGGCGCTGGTCCTGTGCTGGATGTGATTGGACGGTTGGTCCTCCTCCTCCTCCTCACCAGTGAGTGTGTGCAGAGACACAGAGCTGTGTTTGCAGCTGAGAGAGCGATGGCTCAGAGATCTACCACTGCAGCCCGACTTCAGAGTCACAGAGCGACCGGCTGCCTCCATCTTCTCCACCTCGTACACCTCCAGCCTCCGAGCTGACACACAGCAACACAAACAGAGACCATTTACATCACAGGGCCAAACCATGGAGAGATGGATGTGTATATATATGGATG